ACACTTGGCATTTGGTGAAATTGCAGGAGCAAAGAGGGGCCTGCATTAGCCTCTCCAGAGGAGGAGGCAAGCACATCAGGCTAAGACAAAGACGACATAATCAGACAGAACAGCAGGACGTGTGCTGGGAGAATAAGATCTGAGCTTCTCAAGCCCCATTCTCACACAAAGCACTTTTTCTTCAGGCAAATTCAGACTGGATTCTGGCCCCACTGTCTCAGCCTCATTTGACAGACTGGAACAAATATGTTACTGCATTTTTATTCCCTTAAATATTTTTACTAAAATATGACTTAAACACGCATCCATAACAATCTTTTATGCCCCCCTTACATTTGCTTAAGTACAGATAAACAGTCACGTCTTTATCCTAACAGTCCCTGCCTGCTTTAAGCTGGTTAATAAACAGTTATTCAGGCATGTGATTGGTGTTAGACAAAAAACAGAGCCAACACTCTCCCCCACTACCCACACACACACACGCACGCACGCACGCACGCACGCACGCACGCACGCACGCACGCACGCACGCACGCACACACACACACACACAGATAATATTTTCAATGACCTTACAGAGGGGATGTGAAATGATGACTTTCTCTGTAGATCACTTCAAATGGCACCTGTTCACATCATCTGACTATAGAGTATATACATACTCTGTTTCAGCAGCATTTAAGATCTGCAAACATTTCTGCAGGCTGCTGATCTCCACCTGTGAAAAGAAAAACTATTTTTATATACTAGCTACAAGTATTGATATTGAGTTTTATGAGATCCCAACATTTCTAAGAGTATGATTTTTTTTTTCTTTTGACACATACTGTGCAGGGAAGAAGTGTTTATTTTTTATTACCCCACTAATCAACTGGCTGTGTGAAATACTTGATTCTGATTGGTCAAAACTCTTTGACAAGAGGGACGTAAAAACATACAAGGAGCAGAGCCAGAAATGTCAACCGAAAATGAACATGAAGCATGAACAAACTGCAACATGGCATCCAGAGTAAAAAGTCACATCATTAAAAAAAAAATAATAATAATAGAGCTAATAATGTAGAATAGAGCTAACAATTTCAGGTAAATGTCAGTGGGTCATAACATCAAATGTGGATGTAGCTGCTGAGGTGTGCACCTTATAAAAGCTGGTAACAGCTCTATCATCACAGAGAATTACCACAACAAAAAGCTCAGTGCTGTAAAGTTGGTCTTAATGTGTTAACTTATTGGTGTTTGCAGTCTTATTAGCTAGTGGCCAATGAGCTTATGTTTTAAGTACACGCACAACCTGCGAATAAACAGAACCAGCTCAAATGTGTCTCTGCATTCACTTATTCATTTGTTCTGTTCAACTGAATGAGGGTACAGAAAAGTGGTTGCGCATTATAAATCTTTAGTTGGTATGATCTCATGGAGATCCCTTTTTCTGCAATGTTCTCAGAGGTTTTAAATTATTGTCATAGGTGTCCCTCCATAACTCTGGACTATAATTGAGATGGGGTTAAACTAAGATGAAGTACAATTGTTTTAGTGCGTTTTGGTCCAGTTTATATGAAACAGGCATTGTTTTTACAGTTTTAGACTGAATGTATTTCAAGTGAAAATTTGTACTCATCATTGTATTTAACTTATCCCCATAACAGTGAACAGCAGGTGTATCTACAGAAAGGATATAATCACGAATATTTGATAATTAACAAAAGGTATTAAAAGAGTTAAAAAGAGTTCTGGTAAAGATCCTTGTGGCATCTCTATTGTGATACCTTGAAGTAATGATTTGCAGTGCTCTCGCTGTACTCTCTATTTTCTGTTGCTGAGATAATTTTTTAACCAGTTGTAGGATCTTCCTCTGATACTACATGATATATGTACAATATTCAATGTGTAATTATGTATAATAGTGTATATTATACAGTATAATATAATGTATAATATTCAAAACAACAGGCTGAGTTTGAGCTCAACATAAACATTGAGGTGTATACTCAAAATTAAAAGTCTTCTAGTATCTACTAATAATATAAAATGATGATATATATAAACATTAAGTAACACTTTATATAAAATATGCATCTAATACACATTGATTAATGGTTGATAAGCCACCTACAAGACTTTATTAGATGCTTTTAAACATTTATAAGTGCCAATAAAACATAAATAGCACATTTATTATTGCTTTTAGATACATAGGGGCTCTCATTAAAGGCTGTCAACACCTGTCATACACATTGTAAAGATGTCAAACAACATAGCTAAGACTTGACAGTTTTCTTAAAGTTGATAAATATCTTTCATTGGTAATAGGTTTTCCTAGCAGTGTGTTATAAGCTGATGACAAATACGGTCATCAATCTCTAACCTGTATAAGGACTTTTAAATTTCAATAATCATCCTATCAATGATCAGGAGAGGTATTTAAACTTTTAAAAACTTTTCAGTAAGGATCTATAAGTGTTTTATAAGCAATAATAAGAGTGTTAATGATGCTTTTATTCACATATTAAACATATACAGTCTTATAATGGGCAATACTGTAGTGCTGGCCTAACATGTGTTTCAGCCATCTAGACCTGAAGAAAGATCATAGTAAAACATCCATAACACTGGTTTAACATGAATATTGAGCATTCCTAAACTTAGGTCACATGTTTATTAAGATTTGATCATAACTTTCATTCTTTATTTGGTTCTGCTGATTCTCATCCACATAAGATCATGTTTGAGAACGCTAAACATTACTTCATATCAAACCACAACTAAAATGACTTCATTAAACACGATTGGTTTAATTTTCAGTCCAGGATAAAAACCATATTCAGCACACTAAAGAAAATAGATGGTAAAATGTGTTTTAAAAGCTTGTGCTCCTGGTCTGTTTTCCTATTTTGCGTGCCTGAATAAAGAGGTAGCTTCTTAAGCAATCTTGGCCTTGTTTGTTTAAGGTAATTACTACTTGTCCTCCCATCCTGCCTGCCCAGATGATGCATGAAAATTACCATTTGCCTACTTCAATCAAAGCTGGAAAAGAAAAGGGAGAAAGGGGGGAACAGAGGCAAGCAGATGGGAGGGGGAGGTGGTGAGACACACTGAGCTCCCTGCATGACAAGAAAGGGCACTGTCTCTGATTAATTAGCTGGAGTTGGTAATCAGTTTAATAAGACTGAAGTTGATGGTGAGAGGTCCCCTTTGGCAGAGCCATGCACAGCTTAGCACTCTGTTCAGGGCCCTCGCTTTCTTCTACCAAGTAAACATGCAGTGTCTATTTACATAAACAGTTGTTTCTTTTTTGTGGGGGGCTATTTTTCTACCAAACCGCCTGAAAGCCCAACACCACAGCTCAAGTCACTCCCAACAATGGCAGCAGGATTGCAGACAAATTCATGAATTTTTCAACATATGAGAGCTAATTAAATTGAGGCCTTTTTGAAATGAATAAACTGTGAGGTTCTCACTAGTCCCACGCATACAAAGAGGATATAATTCAAGCATTGAATTATGGCTCGATAGTATTCAGCCTTTTACCATGGTGAGCCATACAGATGGCTGGCGTCCTTTTCATTCTTTTCTTTCCTAATGGCAAATCTCATTATTGCACTTATCACTGTACTGAGAACAAGTCAAGAATGATGGCACACAAAGCCACATGCTGCAGAAATGTTGTACCTGTCTGCTGCAGAGCAAGTCACCAGCTACAGGTCAGATTGTAAGAAAACTCTGATAAGTCTGTGATTAAACATGATATATACTATATTCAAAGATTATAGGAGCAAATCCCCCGATAACCTCAGCAGAACTGTTTTAGCTGCCAAAATGTGTCCAGATTTATATGCTACCATTTTTGAATAGATGATGTTATTGATGATCACTCCTTTCTGCTATGACTCTGCTGCTATCTGTCAACACTAAAACACAATATCTACAATAGGTTTGGAGAACATTAACAATAATGACACAGACAACAGTTACCTTACTACACAGTAGAAATACAAACAGTAGAGACTTGGCTGTGCTCAACCACAAAACCGTTCAAGCTCCTACCAATATAAGTTCAGAGTGACCTACCTGGACCATGATCAACCTTTAGACCTAGTACAAGTCTGGAGCTCTTGGCAGTTATTTACCTGCTTTTCCTCTGGGTTTATTGACACTGTGTTCTTGTGCAGCTGTGTTGAGGATTCTGATAACGTTAGTCTAGGGTAGGGCTACACGATTTGGCCAAAAATAAAATCCCATTTTTTTTCTCTGAAAACTTGATTTTCAATTTCGATTTTTTATTCAGTGACATCTTCACCAAACTTCACTTTAAAAATACAAAGTTTTCCTATCGTCAAGGAAACCACTGGAAACGATGTGGTGCATATGCCAAGCCAGTAAGTGGCGCTGTAACGCTGCTGAGAAATGCACCGAGGACAGAAGAAGAGTATAGAGCATGTGTATACAGCCATCATAAAAGAGTTACACTGTTTGTAACAGAATTGTTTCAAGAGATGCAGATAGGCATCCATACGGAGATGAAATGCCAGTCTTTTACAAATTGATGCACTCTCTGATCCATTTTCAAAAAGTATCGTTCACAGTCACCCAAAACATTGTTTCCGTGTGGATGGAACGCCGATACAACAAAAAACTTTTGCATTTACTCCTGAATTCGTTTCCTTGTGGACGGATTGATACCATCTTCAGACAGACTTTGCAGCTGGGGGTGGTTTGCTCTTCACTCGAAACCGTGAAGCCGTACCAATTCCACATGACTGACTTGCTCTTGTCCTATTTAGCCACGAAATTTGCTAACACCATGTTTGTGTATACTGGTGTGTGTGGGAACTGGGCAGCTCTCTTGAAGGAAGGGGGAGCCAACGGTGGCCTGGTGGTGCGAGACATGATAGAGAGGAAAATCGATTTTTTTAACATTGTCATAATCAAATAATCCAATCACGAAATCGATTAATCGTGCAGCCCTAGTCTAGAAGTGTCACAGTACAGAAAAGCTCAGTTTTGAAGTCTCACTTCGGTTCAGTTTGGGTGCAATAAGAGAAACATACGCACATATGCAAAAAACCTCTTGACCTTTATTAAGAACTCACAGAGTTTCCCTTTTACATTGACTGAAGTGCAGCAGCAGCAGCAGTAATTTAGCCTTACAGATCCACTCTTATTTCTTTCCTAACATTTTGGATGAAAATAAGGATATTAAACCCCACCACCACCTGCTCTGAATCACAGAGGTAATGTCTGTTGAAATGTCAGAGGCAGCTGTATTTGAACAACAGCAACTTTTTCCTTGTGACAGTAATGACAGTAATATTGAATTTCCCTTCGGGATAAAATAAAGTTATTTTTATTCTTAATGTTTACATCCGTGTGGTGCCACTTCAAATGTGGTAACAAGTTGAACTTGTGTCCTGTGATGGATTCGACTGCTGCTGAACAGTATCAACAAAACACTTCGGTCTGATCCATTTGTCCTGTACTGAACCAGTTTGGTATGAAGACGCTTCACCCCTGCACACCATCAACTACTCTCTCCATCTTTGTCCTCCAGCGGGTGCAGTTTACACTGCCACTCAATGGTGATAAAAAAGTGTAAGTTTGCTCCATTTTGCGCTGTGGTTGAAACACAGTGGTACTGAAAGAGGCTCTTTCTAATTTTAGAAGATTTTATAATTCAGGTAATCGCACACTTATTAAACACATTCCTGAATAACAAAGTCATTCATTGATAACTTCCTTTATTTGCTTTTAGTAAAGTACCACAGTAACAATACCCAACGCACAGCGGCACTGGCTCAAACAAAGACAAAAAACACAATTTCAGCAATATTCATGTTTTGAAAAAGGCTTCTTTCTTAAAGTGAAAAATGTCTGCTTTACTCTATACAATTCATACAAAAACAGACAACATTTTAAAGGCTCATACTTTGTTGAAATAAAAAGGATATTTCAGTCAAAATGGTACAAAGGGATCATTTTATTTATACCCTGAATGAGTTTTCTATGAACTTTTATAACTTGATAAAGTTGTTGGAGTTATAAGTTATGAAATGTAGAGATTAAAAGATAGTTTTGTGTTCAAGTATGACGCATTATAAACCCTCTCTTCATAAGACATTATGTTGACTGCTCAAAACACTTCATGAACATTGCTGTTAGTTGTTAATACACTATAATGATTGTTATTAAGCCTTAGGATTTATGTCAAGTGTTATCCGATTGTCATTATCCTTCAGAAGAGCCCAAACAGATACCCTGGCCATATTTTTGGTGTATTCCTAATTTTCATGTCTTACATAACAAAGCCTTTATAGTTTTACTCTCTTCATTGTTTATTCTGTCACACTTCTATCTAATAAGTCATGACTGAAACTGTCTTGGAATAAAGACAGAAGTTGTTGCTGCCATGGCTGAGCAGTTTCTATCTGAGTAAACTCTGAGGACCAAGTCTGAGATAAGAGCGCACCGAATCACCCTGTGGCGTTAATGATCGTCCGCTGTTACAACACAAAGACAGTCAAGAAGAGATAGAGCACTGAAATAATTTAAGCTGTGCTAAGTGGTCCATTGTCATTCAAATGATAAATTATGCTTGGCAGAGGTTTTAGAGTCACTTTTACAAAGCCTTGCTATTGTTTGTGTTGAGACAAGGTTTTAAGGAATTAGAATAGAGGGAATTACTTCTGAGAGTTTGTAGTTTCCTGGGGTTTGGCCACAAATTGGTTCCTTGCTCATCTGGCCTGCCCTGACAGTTAGACAACCCTCTGTTCAATAGGCCAACAGTAGTGCTTGCAGAGGACAACAGTGCAGTGACTGAAGGTTTGAGGAAACATGGTGCGCTTAGTCAGTCGGTCGGTCAGTTTATTACAGGATGGAAAGAATTGTAGGTGTGAAAGATTGTTCTCTCTCTCTCTCACACACACACACACACACACACACACACACACACACACACACACACACACACACACACACACACACACACCAGAGGTGGTGGGTGGTGGTTCAGTGATTGACTCAGACATCTCAATCTGAAGGTTGGAGGTTTGAGCCCAGGTCCAACTGTCCACCTGCCCTGAGAGGCTGTTCCAGTGGTGTCTGAATGGGACCTAGCCCAAAGTACAGATGCCATGTAGGCTGCACCACTTGCTAGGGAAAGGCAGAAGCAGCAACAGCCTCTGGGTGAGCCACACTGACTTAAATGGACACATCCTTGAAAAGTTATCCAACTTTAACCTGCAGGAACCCTCCAGTAGGTATGGACCCATCTGTCCTTCAGCCAAAGTAATGAACTACAGTAGGTGGAGAGGTAGGATTGTGTCAGACCTTTTGGACTGAGGTGGCCCAACCTCAGCACTGGCACCACTGAGGTGTCACGAAACATATGAGCCCACACACCAACCTATGGCATTTATCATTGCATCTGTGTTTTTAAATCTGCCACAAAGTGACTTTTAACACAAGTCCAAAAAAGAGTTAGCTCTTTATTTAATAAATCTACCCTGACTTTTTCATCACTAACAATGACCTGTCATGGAATCCTGGTAAATAATATACTTACGTTGCTTATATGTGTATTTTACATAAATGTTTGTCAAATTGAAAACTTGATTTCTGAGAAAACACATTAAGGATATAAAGATTGCAGAGAACAATGCTCCATCTTATCTCTTTATCTGCTATTTAGTTTAATTTTTTTATGGAAGTGTGAAAAAAAAAAAAGATCCAAGGGTTGAATGTCGCTCCACTTTGTGACAGACAAACCCCAGTCTCGATGTTATAAACTGATCACTAATAGACCAGGGCTGTTCCCCCTTTACAATCAAGCCAGTGTGCAATTACCCGCTGTACACTGGGTGAGTGTTCTTCATAGGAACTCTGCAATAAATTACCACACAGGACCGACTCACTGAGGCCTTTCCTGGGACAAATCAAGGTAATGTTAATTACACCATTAAAGGCATTTGCTCAGTATAAATCCCCTCCAGCTGCTCTAGATCATGCTGTCCAGTCTTAAGATAGAATAGGATTTAATGTCTGCGCTGTGTTGATATAAAACCAGAAACCCAGATGATCAGGAACTTTTACAACTGACATTAAAGGATTTGTTGTGAACCAAATGCAACCTTGGGCCATTCCTTTAACTGTTCCTAAGTCACTCTTCAAAATAAAAGCTTAATTATAAAATTTGGGACATAAGAAAACAAATAAACATCATAAAAAACATAGTTTTAGAAAATTAAAATAAAAGCACACCAAAAAAATCTTTTTATGAGGCAACGTCTGCTCGTATGAAGTTTCAGTTACACGGATAGTGATATAGAGCAATAAGCATAAACATGGACATAATTAGAAATAGATGATGACATATAAACTGACTGTGTTTACTAGTCAATATAATGGACTTTCTATCATTATAAACACACATATGATGTTGCTCCACCCTTATTTTACCCTCTTTCTGTTTTACTCACTGTGTTGTTTTTTCATAAATATCACAACAGTATTTTAAATTGTGATGTATTTGGCCACATCATGTGAGATCACACATATTATGGCTGTCACAATATCAGATTTTCGCTCCATGATAATTATGGCCATGATAATTACTACTTGACAACAGAAAAGACACTAGCTAATGACAACAGTAAGGTGAAACAGTAACAGTTTACTGCATGTTTTTGTTTTGTTTTGTTTTATTTTGTTCTTCTTGTGTTGGTGTACAAATGTATAAAGGTTTCATGTTATTCCAGCACCACCATGGTAGAATGTAGATCGTGATAAATTACGTATGTTATGTTATGATATGTATTGCTATTGTACTGTTTGGAAAACCCTTGTGTGGAAGCATGAAACTTAATAAAAAAATAATAATAATAATAATTATGGCCATAAAATATCACAGCAACAATATTATCCTGATGTTTATGGGAAATTTAAACACATACATTTAACTTCTCATCATTCATTTCTAATTATGTTAAAATTCATGACTTCTCCACATTGATGGCAGTCTCACTGAAACTTCTTTAGATGAGACATTGCCTTATTCATCGACTGTTTTTCATGCTTTTATTTTGACATATTTTCTTATACCTGGGTGTACATTTAGATAATAAGTTGGGCTGGTCTAAGAATATAGACTTCATCTACAGAAAGGGGCAGAGCCGCCTCTTTTGCCTGAGAAGACTCCTATCAATAGACAGCTGTAGTAAGATGCTGCAGATGTTTTATCAGTCTGTGGTGGCAAGTGTGCTGTTCTAGGCTGCAGTCTGCTGGGGAGGAAGCATGGGGAGGGAGGAGGATCTCTGGGCGGTTCAACAAAGCGCTACAGTAACTCCTTCTTCCCCCTTGCCATACGACTGCTTAACTCCTATGGTCAACGTGTGTGAAGTCTGTGTTTTATGTTTTATGTCCCGTGGTACCCCGTTTCACATGTTATGTCATGTCTTGTCACTGTAAACTGTTCAATGTCTGTTTAAATTAACGTGGTGTATTGTCGCAGCTACCACCTGCACTGTGAAAAATTCCACCGGCCTAGCTGTGTGGCGATTAAAGAAACTTGAAACTTGAACTTGAAACACAAAGATGCATGATGTCTGAACAAACTGGTGAAAAGGCTGGCTCTGTGGTTGGACTCAAGCTGGACTCAGTGGAGGATGTGGTGGAGAGATCTACACTGAGGAAGGTGGAGTCTATTCTCAAGAACATGGATCACCCACTTCACAGCACCTTGATGGACCAAAGGGCCAATGGTGGTGGACGGCTCCTCTCTCTTCGCTGCAGGACAGAATGATTCAGAAGATCTTTTGTACCAACAGCCATCAGGCTTTATAACTCTTGTGTAAATAGTAGATAACTTTAAGAGACATATTATGTGAGACAACAGACAATTCATTTTCCCTTCAGGGATTAATAAAGTTCTTCTTATTCTCTTATTCTTATGTCTACCTCAGCTATGAACTCAAAGTCTTACCATTTGCTTATTTTCACACGATATCAATGTGTTCTGTTTTGATAGTGACAGGCAGGACGGTAGCACACTGCGTCAGCCCTAACTGATATTCTTGGTTTGAAGAATAAAGAGGAGTGCATAATTAGTGATGAGTGCATGCTCAGCACATTAGGAAATCGTTTTAATTCATAATTTCATGATTGCAAAAGAAGAAATTAATTGACAGTCCATTTCATTTTTTTGTCCATTAGTTATTGAAATGATAAAACTGATGCTTAGAGATCTGGACTGAGAAATAATTAACAGTGAGTATAAGTAACCCTCACACTCGACTCTGGACTTTGATTCTGGAGGCAGGGCAGTGAATCAGCCTTAATCACTGTGGATGGTGAATGTTAACTCGGCCTCATTTCCACAGTTTGACAAGCTCTTTCTTCTGTTCGGCCTCAAATTGGGACAATAACTTCTGCATGTCATCTGTCAAAATCCTGAAGTTTGAAACATGATAGCCACTCTTTAATCCATGAAAAGTTGCTTCTGTCTCAGAAGTATCCTGACTCCCCACCCAGAGGCAGCCGTGAGTGTGAGCATGGTGCTTGCCTTGGTTATTGGTTTGAGTGGTGAAGTGTTCCTACAGCAGCCGCACTGCAGAACAAACACAGCTCATCCAAACACTGTCAAAGTAATTTCCTCACACCATAGACATCCTGACTTTCAGATGAATCAATTCTTTCACTAATTATCAATTGTGACACTCATAATCACGGGAAGACTGCAGCACTGAATAAATGGCATGTCTTTTGTGTTATAATTCTCTGCATCTTGACAAACATGACCCATTAAACATCCCTGTGGCCTTTTAAAAAGCGTTGATTACACTAATTAAAACTGCAAAACATCTGAGAGGAACGCAGACGTGCCAGAATTAAACAGGTCATTAAATCAGCCAAGGAATATATCAGCATCCACGCTGCCTGTCACTCCCACACAATTACTTTGAGTCAAAGGAAACAAGTGTACCTCACAGAGAAATGTGATCATACTTGACACATCACATGCGTTTCTACGTGGGCCTTGAGGTGAATAAAAAATAAATAAAGACTGCATCTCCTATTCCAGCAAGAAGAGAGTCAGTCATGTGTTTCCTCACAGTCTGTATATGTTAAATGTATTTTTCTGCTGTTTTTATAATATGCACTGCTTTTGAGCAGGCTGCGGTACATTCCCAAAGAGAGGACAAGTGAAGGTCAGAGATTTTACACGTTTAAAAATGATTATAGCCTCATGATTAACACAAACAAAGCAGCATGTCCCATCGACTTTCCCTTTGAGTTGCAAGGTGATTCAAACGTTGCACGACTTTATCAGCTGAATCTCCCAGATCTTAACTGAGGAAGTTAATCCTCTTCTTGCTGGTGATAGCAGCATGTGATAGTGCTGATGCCTTGTTAGCAGCGACATATGTTTCCTTTCACACAACAGCAGCTTTCCAACCATTTAATGAGATTGTTGTTGTTTTTTTCTTTACCCCCTCTCCACACAACAAACACTCTTCCTAGAAGTGGTTCGACATGTGCCCAAGGAATTGTCTACACGTTTCACAACAAATCAGCCTAGGTCAGGGGCTAAGTTTGGCCTCCAGTAACAGACTATTGAAAAGAGGAAAGTGGATTTTCCAGCTTAAACGCAGAATCTGCTCTGCTCAAGGCATTATCCTGTGTTCCATGAGATTAATAAAGTGAGATGGCATTGATACCACGCAGCACTGCTCTTGGATCAGCACTGGTCATGTTCACTGACGCCTGCTAAAATGGCTAGATGCATTTTTCAAATGGGAGACGCACTTACTGAGATGTTTTACTCTAACATAATGTCTTATTTTTAAGGTTGAATTGTTGTTTATGAATAAAGAGAGACGGTTTCATGAGGCCAATAAATGACAGTTTGGAATAACCTGTGTCAGCCCTCACTAAGGTCTTTAAAAGCAGATTGATCTGATTCTCCATTGACAGTCGATGAAAAAAAAGTCACAGGCTCAGGTGTTTAGTGTAAATTCTGTTTAATTTGGCCTCTGACAGAAATATCAGCCATGCTCTGAAATCTTCATGTATCAGTCTCTTTTCACCAGCTCATGTATAAATTCCCCTACGCCATGTAACCGGCTGAAATAACCATGTGTAATACAATTTTTATGTGCTTTCTTTTTTCTTTTTAAACTACAATAACCAGATTTGTATTTTTTTTCTTTGTACAGAATTTAAACTGGCAGTAAGAAATTCAAAAGTCTCTTGTGTTGATATTCCGATTTACGCTTTAAAATGTTCATTTAAGCTCAGCACTTCTTTTCATACAATAAATAAATAGATAAATAAAAGAATAAAAAAAACAAACAGGATGGAATATGGAGATATTGTCATTATATATCGGCATCAGCCATTGACTAACTGTAATCGGTGTACCACTAATTCTGAATGATCCAAAGGCACACCTGCAGACAGCAGCTGGTCTGTGAATCCAAGTGTCTGTGAAATGAAAAGCTTTAACTGTAGAGGTCTTCAGAGGCGCTGAAATCTGTCTTTCTTGTCCAGCTAATAGCATCTCTGATGCTTCCTCACTCCTCAGCCAAAATAGATCTTTTTCAAAGCAGTCATCAAAGTAAAGAAATCCCATGTTGTACTTTGATGTGCTTAACACATTTTTCAACTTGTGTCTCATTACTGAGGGAATTAATATTTTAATTAGTGCCAGTTCTCACCAGCTGAAACTATCCCAGACTCAGGCATGTGTTGGCTTGGATGCTGATGATTTAAAAGATGGATTTTTTTTCTAAAATTAGCTGCTTTTACACTAATGTTGTATCTACTTTCTTCAGCTGAGGTGTTTTCCATGACTTAGAAACTTCAGTGTTTCTATAATTTCATCATCTCTGCTTCATACAGATTCAGCCTACACAGCAAAGCCTACATGTGAATACCACTTCTTATCAAAGAGAAGGCACCCCAACATGTGCAATGCAAACAACTTTGATGGATTCATTTTTATTCTCATTACCTCGAAGTAAAGCAATCGTTTTGTATGGCGATAAAAATGTTTAAGCGATAAAAGTCATCAGTGTGTGTGTGTGTGTGTTTTCAACATGCTGTTTGCAATTAACACATTAGCTACTGAGCATGTGAGGAAGTGCTGTGTGCTGCAGATCCAAACAGATCAAAGCTACAGCAGCAGGAGGAATCGACAGTTTAACACGAGTTTACCCACACTAAAGAGAGCTCATCTCACAAAGAGAAGCAATTGCAGGCCTGGAGAAACAGCGCATGCCTCTTGTTTAGGCTGGAATACAATAGGATGTCTCACACTATGGGTGAGGGCCAACAGCAAAGCCTCTGTTTCATCCCCCACCCCCAACAACATTCACTCAACTTCCAGTTTACAACTGCTCACAGCTGTTTACAGCAGCCAAATTTCATTTTATACTTCCAAATCCTATCCCACATTATCCTGTACATTGCATTAGGACCCTAATCTTTCCTTTCACTTCCTTGGAAGAAGAAAGAAGGACTTTCACGATTAACCCACTTTACAGCAATAAATAAACGAATCATCAAGTAATGTACACCAGATTTAATTTGAGGGGGAAAAAAGGCCAGAACGCTCCAATGTAATGAAAAATAACACAATGCAGACACCAATGGGCGCCTTAGGAATTAATTTGAATGCTCTGTAATTTTGTCTTTTTTCTCTCTGCACTCTCTGAATTAGTTTTGCCACAGCCAGCTGTCTGACTTTTTCACCCTCACACTGAACTGTTGGGAAGTCTTTCAAAATACACAAAGAATAAAGAGAAAGAGGATCAGTCCTGCATTAAAAAAAACAAACAAAAAACAACAACAACAACACTGCTTTCAGCAAATTAACTAACCCCCCACCACTCTTTTTCACGCTGGTTCACATGTAGCCCATGTTACTTTTGGTTTCCCAACGTTTCTTCGCCTCAAACCTGCAACACAGAAAAACATAAAATTAAAAAAACATCAAATGACCTGAAAGATAACTTATCACATTAACACAAGTGCAGTCTCTGAATGAGCACCTTCAAAATTCAGCCATCACCACTGATTTAATAAAAACAGCAGACAGTTTCACGGGCTCTGTTAGCTGAAATAATCTTTGAATAAGACTGGATACTTGACGTAGTCAGTGTCATGTTTATGTTGGCTATTTCTGCTTGCTCTGCTTTTACATTTTTTAAGACAATGAAGGATGACTGTTGAGGTTATTCCCCTAAACGAAGTTAGTAAATCACAGTCCAAATTAAAAAAGTTTATGTACATTAACATATACGTCCTGACACTCTTAGTAGAAGAAAAACCTGATTGTTTTTGACATAAGCAGACAGTCATGCGGTTATCAGTTACTGGGGTTGTGACCATCGAGAAAGTGTGACAGGTGGAGACTGTATATGAAACCCAAGTCCAGCTCACAGGTCTTAGCAGCTCTGTTTTAGCTGTATTTAAAACCACAGCGTCACTAAAGTTAGATATGTTGAAACGTAAACATGTGGACAGAAAGAGCGTCCGTACCCCCAGGCGATTTCCTTCCTCCTTTTCTGTGCGGCTCTCACAGCTTCCTCTTCTTGTTTGCATTGTACAAAGTCGCGGCAATCAGCAGCTTGTGCGATCTTCACAGCCAGCTATTTAGAGACAGACAGACAGACAGACAGACAGACAGACAGACAGACAGACAGACAGACAGACAGAGGAGAGGACCATTGGAGAGCATGAATCTTTCTGACAAGAAGGAGAAGAAAAAAAGGTTTTTGACTGATGGAACAGGAGTGTAGGGGTCCTCTCTGCTAAACCAGCCCAGACTAATGTCCTAGAGTCTCCTCCACAACAGCCTCATCACCTCATACAGCAACAAAAATGACAAAAACATGATGCAACTACAACAAATCACAATTCAAAACAGAAGAGTCCAATATAAAATAAATGCTAGGAACGTATCATCCTGACATGTTTCAGAAATTCATTTGACTTGTTTTTTTTTTTCAGTCAGTTGAATCTTTGTTTCCATATAACTGCTTTTATATGTTTTTTTTAATGATGGGGCGATGGCTGATGGTGTCTTTATGAACTCAATATGATTTTTTGGACATTTAGCCAAATAGATTGATTATAAATGTTGGTCAGTAATCGTTTTGAATAAGAATAAAGTCATAAAAGCAGATAAAGGACTAACTAATAAACGCTGGTCTGAATCAGTCATTTTCTACAGCTTTCGCCAAAAATGTCCCCCTTAAACATCTGTCATTGTTGTTATTACAAACAGTTTAAGCGCATTACATTTGAAGTTACAGGGTTATAGTCTCTCATGCACATTCTTCTTTATTTTACTTTTTTGTCACTAAATACACAAGTTAAAAGACACCATAATGAAACAACAATTTAGTATTTTGCATTTTCTCCAACAACTGCTCCTTGTCTTCTAAAAATGTTGCCCTGGCGTTTTTTAAACAGTGTAAAGGAGACATTTTTTCAGTAGCCTGTCTGCAAGCAGTCCCTCAAATCAGACCTAAAGAGAATGACTGTGAGTGCAAGAAGCAAACATTCAAATCCCAGGGAAGTCGTTTGTATTGTGAAGCAGAATAATCCCAATAACCCCAGTCACGCAGAAGCACCGGAAACAAAGAGAAAAATCCTGCCTTCTCTGTCACTCCTGAGATAGGTTTATTATTCAGGCAAAGGCAAAGTTTGATAAACAACTTCGAACAATTTCACCAAACCTTTGGGTAATTCTCTGTAATATTCACAGTACAATCAGGGGGGAATGAAAGTATTAAGGTAATGAAGAAATGTGCCACCACTGCAGCACTTGAAAAAAAAGACCTGCTGGAAGAAAAAAAAATGTTTCAATTATAATTAAGTGGGATAAACTTTATTAGAAAGACTGAAACTAAAATATCTCCTAATGCATGTGAGGATTAAGCAGGTCAGAGCGAGCAGGCAGGAAAAATTAAACTCTAAAGGCTTTTTATCACCATATTTCAGGAACCAAGGGTGTAAAATGTTCTAATTTGGGATACATTAAAAGCCATAAAGGTCTTTCAAAAAGATTAATGGTACTTTGCTTGGATTTAAGATAAGGGCTTCGGCTGGCTGCAAGTACTGGGCTCTGGCTGGGCCCTCAAGGCATTCATCTATACAGTCACTGGAAGATTTGTGAAAGCGTCTTCACAGCCTGAAGCACACATACTATGACAGTCCTCCACTTCTTTGCCGTTTTATGGGTTTAAATTCCTCCAATCATGTTTTCTCCTCTTACAGAGAGTTATAACAGGTGATTGCGCTTACATCTGCTGAAGATTTGCAAGCAGATAAAATCCCATCTGGGTTTTTCCTACTTGTCATTGTGGTGGTGCTAATGCTTCTAAAAGACTGCAATAAACCAGAGGTTTATTATACTGTAGACAACATCTGAGCCTCTGCTCTGTGTTTGCAAATACAGACAACTCTCTGTCCCATCTTTGGAGCAAATCATGACATCAGAGTATCTTTGATTTAGCTGCTCCCCTTGGTCATGAAAACACACCTTTCCAAACACTCTAAGAGCAACATTAAAAACCCTGCTTTTCCCCCACTACAAAATTCACAACATAGCGTTTCATAGCATTAAAGGTCTTAATTTTCTCCCCTTTTTTTTTTTATCAGTTTAGTCCCCAATCCCTGATTGTCTATAGTGAGGCTCAACATTAATGTCAACCAAGTTACCTAGGAGACAGAGCAGATCAAAGAGACAAAAAACCTCAAATGTCTGATTAATCAAGCCTGCAAACAGCTTATTTCTTTTAGCCTGCATGCAAGTATGAAAATGAGATTCCGAGAGCAGTACATTGTGCAGATTTGTTCATTCTTATCTGAACAAAGCCAGCGGCAGCTTATTTCATGGATCACTGGCACTGTCAGCACTGTGGCGCTGAGCAGGTGACGGCTCCTCTTTCTGTGGCGAGAACAAAATTAGCAAAAAGTCGGCACAAATTAGCCTCTCATATTTTCAGTAATATGACATTATTTTTCATTTACTTTTCTGATCCACTTTTCAGGATTCTTTCCCCCTCCCCTTGCGTGCATCTTAGTGCAAAATCCTTTCACATCAGAGGCTGGTTAAAAATAAGTACAAAGCTGGAATAAAAGCAGGAGACAGGGAACCTCCAGCAGTCTGTGTTTATGTGGCGACTAAAAGCCAATCCCCTCCACTTCAACACATTTTAAAACACAATTTAGTGTCTATCACAACTGTGTTTCTGTGCCTTACGCCTCCTCTCTCCCCTGTGTGGCCTGGGCATAGCCCGGCTAAAAACATGGTTTATTCAGAGGATTAATACTCTGACCTTTGCGAGATTTGAGGGCAAAAAAAAAATGCCCACAATGCTGGCACTGCAGTGGAAGCAGCTTAAGGCCACTAGGAGGGTTAAGTCAACAGACCTGTTTTCTGTTCATTCATGTTTGGGTCGCCATGGAGATTCAAGTAGAGACTAAAATATGGGGTCCAAAATAAGGACACATTACTGCTGTATAAGCCATACATAAGAGAAACGTGGTCCGTCTCCACAGCGTGGAGTGTGACTGCTGGTCATTCTGATGTCTCTTCTTTTGTTGATAAACCTCCTTTAATCAGTGTTTGATAAACCGTCTTTATGTGCAGCATGAGGTTTATATTAAAAAAAAGAGAGAGAGAGAGAGAGACAAAAGAAGAGATGAGCAGAGAGACAAAAGCTGAACGTAAGAGGAGAAAATGACATCTGTGTGTGGATAAAGTGTTAAAGTTCCTGTTAACAATAAGAAATAAATGATGGCTTTAAGGAAGAAATGGCCTTAAAGCCATTCATAAATTTCCCATCCAGGAAGCCTCTTCCAATTAAAATGTGTGAGAGGTGGATTAACAAGGGCTATATGGCTTTGCCTCACTAAGTCACCTCCCCGAGCTGCTCTGCTGCATTTGACGTGTAAACGATTAATGACCGGCCTAATTCCCTTATCACACTACCTTAATGCCTAAATAATGTGGCCTTAGTCAACTTTGGAAAAGAGGGCTGTAGAAGAAAGGAGTGAATATCAGATCAGGCAGCTTGTATGTTATTTCAGTATAATTTTTTAGAAGTGAATCAGAGGGGTTAGAATGAATGTCTTTCTGGTGGAAAACGCTTCATGTTGTAACTCTGAATAGTTACAGATCATGAGGTCAGTCAAAAGCAGCCCTATCATGTCAAATGCAGAGAATCATCCTGGGAGTCAGACTCACATCTCAGATTTACACTCAAAGATTCAACGCAACACCAACAATGAAACTTGAATCCAAAAATCAAAGCTCTAGATTAGTCTATCATCACGTATGTATTTTATGTAACCTATGCTAGGCCATCTATTTGTGTTTTCTTTGGTCAGGAGTTTAACCTTCTAACCCAAACTCCAACACTATGAAGATCACTTTCCTAATATTGCTAATGTCATTATAATCAAAACAGTCTTCATGTCTGCAGATGTCGCTGTTCAGAAAGTAAGCTGCTTCTTCAGCCTAAAAACTAACACAAGGAAGAGACAGAGGGAACAACTGGAGAAGTTCAGAGATCTAGCACCGCTGATGAAAACCAACCAGTTAAACCTTTTAAGTCAAAAAATTCCAGGAATAAAGTCATCATCAAGTTTAGAAAGAGATACTATTACAAAAAATAAATAAAGTGGTTGTAAAGTTATAATATTCTGAGAATAAAGTCTTCATGTTGTGAGAATAAAGTCTTGATAAAGTGGTAGTTTTGGTTCACGGTAAACAGTCAGCTCTCTGATTCAAGTGTCTCATGTTTTTTTGTCTCCACATTGCTATAAAGATCAGGACTCTGAACAGACTGAGCACAAAACTGAGACGTGTGGTTTCCTCCTTTGAAACAGCTTCACCATGAGGCTGATGGTTGGTCAGCTCTAAGTGTTGTAGTCAGTTCAAGGACAGTGAGTGGTGTTTCTGTGTCAGAGTAAAGAAATAAATGATGAATATTGTCTGGACGTCATCTCCTCATAGTTGACTCGAATCATTATGAGGAAACATCAGCAGGATCTCTGACAGCAGCAGCTCCAGCTGAGATTATTCAGCTTTATGTGTCTGTACACTCATTAACCTCTGGAGGGAATAAACCTTCTCTTACCATCCAGAAGAAAACTTACAGCTTCAGTGTCACTCTCCAAACATTAATTCATCATTAGGATTTTCATCTATGAAAGCTGATGTCACCTGTCCTGATCTCATGTTTTCATTTTTTGGACATAAGACTCTGATTCACTCTGATAGGGATGGGCGACAAATTATTGTTCACGATATATGGTCAGAAAAATCCTCCATGATAAATAATTTTCACCTCATTATAACCTCATTATAAGTTGGCGTAAGCGCGAGCAATGGACTCGCAGCCATAGCCCACACACAGCAGAATAACAAACAAACATGGCAGAAGATAACAAAGAAGATGTTTCAGCTTGTTACTGAACGAGGCTCCACATGAGGGATTTCCTTCAAGATTGGAGCTTAGATGAGTGCAGTCAGGTCTGCCTCACATCGGACAGTGGATCTTCTGCTGCTGTTCACTCTGTACAACAAGAGTTTTCAACAAATACTGACAAAATGTTTTCACATTTGAGACTTGTTTGAAGTCATTAGTTTTCTCCATAACCCACCTCTTAAACTTGTGGTTAAGTATCTTATTTGACAACTCCAACTGGTGTTCTCAAGACAAAATGAGTCAAAAGTATAAATTGGAATTATAATATTTATTATCGGGACTTCTATCGTTATCGCCTGAATGGCAAATCTCATTGTGGTAAATTTTTTAGCCCATATCGCCCATCCCTACACTCTGATTCATGTTCCAGGGATCCATGATCATTGCAAGTTTAAAACTTTATTAACACAAATTCATTTGTACAACAGCTGATCTCTCTCTGTCTTCGTTGCTCTCCTATACCAGCACATCTTGTTTAGTTAGCCAGTAATTAATAAAACATGTACAACAATGTCAATGCTGTTAAATACATTAAGTAGGTACTTGCAACATTAATAAATCTAATAATGGATTCCATATACCATATCCGTATTCCATATCCGTAGTGGCAAATTTGCTCAGTTTAACGGCAACTTATATAAATTTGAATAACTTCAATTATACACTGCAAAATCTGCACCTATCCAAAAATCACAAGCTCAGTGATTTGTTTCTTTTAAAGGGCAAATGAAACTGAAAGTGAAGGCCCTGCACATGTTTCTTTTAAAAACTGATCAGCCTCTCATGGGGTAGACAGTCTACTTAATCCTGTCTCTCCATTGACTACCAGTCTTACATGTCCAGCAAAAAGACAGCCACTCCAGACAGGCCCCGGAAAATCCCCAAACCTATCGATTTTTTCTTCTCGAAATCTGATGATAAATGCACATGGCATCTTTGAAGAGCAGACAAAAAGAAAAAACAGTTAAAGTTTTCCTGCTCTGAGCACATCCTATTATCAAGCCTCCTGTGAGTACGGTAGGCTTATTAGTAAGCTTTGAACTCACACTTACAATAATAAGCCATCAACAGTTTCATAAGCTAATTAGAAAAAACAGTTTAATTAATGAGTGACTAGCAATAAAATGGCAATCATAAAAAAAAGGAAACCAAGGGTGCTAAGCTTCCACTACCATCAATTAAGGCCTAATTACAAACAAATTATATATGTGTTTTGCTGTGGGCTTTAATTTAAAATATGGGCTTTAATTAAGAGAGAAAACATGCTAATTAATTAAACAGCACACAAATCTACATTGAAAAGTATGCTTTGTCTATGAAGTAATTAATGAAATACAATAATCCAAATGAGATTCTCAGGCATTTGATAACAGCTTAGTACCCATTTTGAAATCCATTTCAAAATTAATGGGTGAAAATCTAATGTGAGTCATCCAAAGATACAATAAAAGTTCATTCAGTGATAAATGACTTATGCTGAAAGAAAAATGAACAAAGAGGAGAGTTTCCTTCAACTCTCAAAGGTGGCCTGGGGGTTCTTGGAGGGGAGACTAAGTCAGCCTCCTACTCTTAGGTGGGGCGGGGAAATTCAGAATCAGATAATGCACACTTCCCACAAAGGCAGCGCTCATTAGTTCTTTGATTACAAACACAGGGTTAGGCAGGGAGAAGGTGAGGAGAAGAAAAAGGTGTTCAATTACATGAATATCATGAAACACTCTTAGTTCAGCTCTTTGTTTCCACTAAGCCACCATGTCTCTTACTACAAAAATGCTTTGCCACCTTTGTTTCACACTATTTAAGCAAGGTTTTCTAAAGGGTACCTTTCAAGGACAGAAGAGTTTTTTCCTTTCAGCGACTGCCACCATTGAAATATGCGCTGGCTTATATCGAAGGATTCTATTAACATCCTCAGGTTCAAACGCCGTGGAAACCATACACCGCTCCACTCAATGCATATTCTTGTGGTTAATTATCATAAGTCCAAGTGATCCAACTATAAGTAGGGAGCACGGTTTAAACAGTTTCCTAAATCTACAGAGCGCAGGAAGCCACAGGCCTCAAATGACACAAATTTGATTAAGCCAAAGGGATTTAAAGTCAATAATGAACAATCTGTCACAGTATATGCACAGAGAGAGACCAGCATTAGCATGAGCAACCTGATGAAGTTCAACCATTGCTGTTTCTGTTAAAATGGGTTAAAAAGAAAAACAAGAATAAAAGCATGCTCCTGTGTTTGACCCTCTCTGACAGAGAAAACACTGTTTCCCACAGACACTGAGATTGTTCAGAGCCTTTAACCATGAGGAGTTTTCAAGGATGAGGAAGAATTTGAACAATGCTGTGACATAAGTACATGCAAAAATAACCAGTGCAATATGTTTCCACCTTGCATTTTAAATGCTTTCACAGGAAGAAAGAACAAAGGTGAAATTATTGTGGACCACATTCCCTGCACTGTTTCCGCTCACCCTGGACTACAAGTATAACCATCAGTGTTCTTCAATCAGGCTAGCCACAAACAATGTAGTCCTTTAACTGTAGTATTGTGATATTTTGTCTGGTGATATATCGCATCGTGTCATTAACTGAGGATCATTCTTTCTAATTAATTTTTTATATTTAGTCAAATCTATGAAAATGGAAAAATAAAATCATCTATGAGGTTGGCAGAGGTGACATCATAGAGCAGGAGAAAGTTAGTACAACAAGTACAGCAGCACCTGAGGAAAGACATTAGGAATGCAAGCAGACCACAAATGAGATGGACCTGACACACAAAGTTTGAAAGATGTGCAACATAAAGATAAAATACAGTGTAAATAAGACAAACATAGAGGGTAGGCAAATGCTAAATCATCTAAACAGCTGAAAGAATTGTATAAATCGCAATATATTGTATCACAATACTCACTGTATTGCAAAATGTTTAAAAGCGCAATAATATTGTATTTTTGCACAAGTAGCGTGATAATATTGTATTGTGGGGCCACTAATGATTCCCACCCCTCGTAAACAGTGGATTTTTATTGCAATTCCAGCCCCCACAATCCAAAAAATATGACACAAAGACTGGACAATTATTGTGTCACTTGCTAGGGGGCCCCCTCTATATGTTAAGTAAAGCACAGCCATCCCTTCACAACACAGTGTGCCCCCCCCCCCCCAAACAGCTCTCACTTTTTCCTTACATAAGCATAAGCAGCTCAGATTAACATGATACAAAGTTTGTAACAACACAAGGAAGTTAAAAGCTATGGGTAAGATCGATGGTGGACTGCTGTAACTTAAACACGCTGTGCAACTGTGATAAAACGAGGCATCAACAAGTACAGAAAGGAGAAATGGGAGAGGAGCAGGAGGGAGCTAGAGGAGGGCAGGAAAAGGAGCAGGAGGAAAGAGAAGATTGGAGAACAGGAAGAGGAGCAGGATGAAGAGAGAGGAGGGTAAGGAGAGGAGCAGGACGAAGAGAGAAGAGAGGAGAACAGGAAGAGGAGCAGGATGAAGAGAGAGGAGGGCGGGGAGAGGAGCAGGACGAAGAGAAAAGAGAGGAGAACAGGAAGAGATGCAGGATGAGAGAGAGAAGAGAAGAGAGCAGGGAGAGGAGCGGGACAAAGAGAGAGGAGAGGAGGAGAAGGAGCAGAAGGAAGAGAGAGGAGAGCAGGGAGAGGAGCAGAAGGAAGAGAGAGGAGAGCAGGGAGAGGAGCAGAGGGAAGAGAGTGGAGATGAGAGGAAAGAGCAGTATGAAGAGAGGGGAGAGCAGGTAGAGGAGCAGGATGAAGAGAGAGGAGAGCAGGGAGAGGAGCAGGACAAAGAAAGAGGAGAGGAAAGAAGGAGCAAGAGGAAGAGAGAGGATAGTAGGAGGAGAAGGAGCAGGATGAAGAGAGAGGAGAGCAGGTAGAGGAGCAGGGGGAGGAGAGAGAAGTGAGAAGAGCAGAGAGAAGAGCATTAGAATAAAGGAGAGCAGGGAGAGAAGCAGGAGGAAGAGAGAGGAGATGAGAGGAAGGAGCAGAAAGGAGAGAGAGGAGAGAAGAGAGCAGGGAGAGGAGCAGGAGGAAGAGAGAGGAGATGAATAGAAGGAGCAGGAGGGAGAGAGAGGAGAGGAGTAGAAGGAGCAGAAGGAAGAGAGGGGAGAGCAGGGAGAGGAGGGAAATGAGCAGGAGAAAGAGGACAGCAGGGAAAGGAGCAGGAGAAGGAGAGAGGAGAGCAGGGAGATAAGCAGGAGGTGCCAGGTGTGAGTCTCAGCGAGAGACATTGTTCTGAATTATGATAAAACCCTAATTCTTGAGGTTTTTTTAGGACACTATATTAGAGACTGACTGATTTGTTGGATCTGCAGAATAATTCTTTAGTATTTCATGTTACCGCTGTAACAGTCAGAAACGTAAGTGCTTCCACTTCAGTTACCTACAGTATGTCATAGACTTTCTCTTCCTCTGTCTTCAATTTGATTGACCACAGTTGCTCTTTGTCTTTTACTTGTGATAGCTGAGGGTTGAAAAATGACTGAAGACGTGTTTGTTTAAAGCGTGTGGTATTGAAAGTAAGAACCAAAAAGTATGACAACCTTTAAGTGACGTGAGTAGGAGCAGCGATAATATAAGGTCTACAAACAAAGATTTCAAAAGGCACCTTACAGTTAAGTATTTCTATGTGAACAATTCTGATATTATTTAACCGTGTAAGCGTTTGCAGCTACAGTGATCAGATCTGCCACCACTCAGGATTTCAGTCTCCCTCATTTAACTCATTCTCAAACTTGTATATTCTACTTATTATCTCTCTGTTTCAGGTTAACACCATTCTAATGGGTGATCCTCAACCTCTTTGTGGGATATGTGTCATCTGACCTCACAACCAGTGACATGCATGCACCACTTCTCTCTGCAGCACGGCACAGTCTGCCAAACTTGGTGTCCAAAACAGCTGAAACAAGCCAAAGAAAAAGAGCTATGCCTCTAAATCCAGTTCTGCTAGCTGCAATGACACATACCGTGCATTTGTAAGGTATGTCGATCAGACTTTGGCATTTGACATTACAAATGGGGCCCAGTCAACGTGAAACCAAAAAGCATTGATGCTACTGTAGATGCCAACAGACTACCAGCAAACACAATGTTTGCAGGACTTCTACAACTAGGGTAGAGTGACATACTCCAGGACCCAAGGTAAACCTTTTAGCTGTGCTACAACACGCAGCAGGTCCCGTTTGACAAGAAACACTTCTGTTACAGACACTTGGCTTACTTTGTTAATGTGGTTTACCTGTCCAGCAGAAAGGTTACAGGGTCGGTAAGATCCCGAAGCCTCCCCCATTGTTTATGCTAGCTTCATTGATGTTGACCTGGCATTTTAGCTCTTATCCGGACTACCTCCCTTTTAAGAGCCCGTTATTCCGCCAGAATCTCCGATATACACTCTGTTTTCTTGCTTGTGTTGGCACTCATGGCCAAAGGAGGATTCAGACAATGTTCCGTACTTTCTGTTTGGTTTCCACTGTCCCATATTGTAGCATGCTAACTTTGTTGGGCTCGTGAACATTATTCAAGTACGTGGATCATGCCTCACAACATGAGGGAACAGTGTCTGCCTCACAACCAAGCAGCGCTAAGGAGCAGGGTCCGTCTCACAACCAATCAGGTTGGGGAAGGTGGAGAACGGCTTTGTTTACAGTCAGAAAGAGCGGGCCGCTCAAAAATTTTAAAATGTTGAGGCGTAAGAGAACACAGCGATATTATGACAATCCCAAATGTCATCAATAACTAATAGGTATTGACTGATATTAAAAGCTTTTTTGTATATACACCACAAAAAAAGACGCTTCTTTAAAAGATTCCTGCCCCTACCCCACCTTTAAATAGCCAGACAAATGCTTCCAGATAATTCGGTTTGGGATCGATTTTCCCCTGCATGGAAATACCTTGACTTAACTGTGTATATAAACATGACAACAAAAGGGGCAAAGCAGTAACAGAAGCATTCATGTATCAGTCAGCAGCTACTTGAGATGCACCATTTAGGAAAAGAGGAAGAAGGGGAGAGGGGCTGTTGTGCAAAAGAATACATACTGACTGACAAATGGGGTATGATACTCATGCAGCACCACTGAAGCTTTTTGTCCTTGAAGTAGGGCTGCACGATTAATCGATTTTAAATCATAAACAGATTATTTGATTATGACAATGTTAAAATAATTAAAATCGCCAAATCGATTTTCCTCTCTATCATGTCTCATGCCTCCAGGCCACCGTAGGCTCCCCCCTTCCTGCTGGAGCACTCTCTAGTTCCCACACACACCAGTGTAAACAAACATGGCGTTTGCAAAAGAAGGCAATAATTTTGTGGCTAAATAGGGCACGAGCGAGTCAGTCGTGTGGATTTGGTACGGCTTAGCAGTTTCAGACGGAGAGCAAACCACTCCCTGCTGCAAAGTCTGTCTGAAGGCAGTATCAACCCGTCTACATGGATACAAATTGTTGTATCTGCATTTCATCCACGCGGAAACAGTGTTTTTGACTGTAAATGTTACTTTTTGAAAATAGGTCAGAGAGTGCAAAAATCTGTAAACGACTACCATTTCACCACCGTGTGGATGCCTATCTGCATCACTGGAAACGATTATGTGACACACAGCGTAACTCTTTTATGGCGCCCGTGCATGTCCGGCCAGAACAACCTTTATACGCATGCTCTGTACTCTTCTTCTGTCTTTTGTGCATTTCCTGGGCAGCCTTACAGCGCCACTTACTGGCTTGGCATATGCACTACATTGTTTTCAGTGGTTTCGTTTTGAGAGATGATAGAAAAACTTTTTATTAAAGTTAAGTTTGGTGAAGTCGTCACCAAGTAAAAATTGAAAATCGAGCTATCAGAGGAAAAAAAATCGGGATTTTATTTTTGGCCAAAATCATGCAGCCCTACCTTGAAGGCCACCATCACTTTAGTGATTCAGGAGTAAGCAGGAGAATATTTCAGTTTGGTGTAGGACTCCTAGATGTGGCCCTGCAGAAACATGTTCATGCTTAGGTTTGTGAAAATAACACCTTGTGACAACTTGTCTGGACCAACACGTCATCAACTCTCTTGTAAAGTAAGCTTCAGTCTCCTGAATATGTCTACTCATTTATTTGCATTATTGCTGCATTACCAGGTGACAATGACAAGCTCAAATCAAGCTTCCTGACAGGCTGTGCTCCATTTGCTAGTCATGTATGTGTTACGCTCTAAATAAGCCCATATGAAGCTTTGCACTAATTAACATGATATACACAAAGATGGAGACCAAGTCCAATTAATCAGAGGACTTTTACTTTTCAATTAACTTCACTACAGGGACTTGAGAGGCGAGATGCTTTTACATTACTTTGTGTCTTCTTTGGCTTGTTACAGGAAAGACAAACATGTTAAGAAGGATCAGCAGACATATTTATAAAGACAGACATCCTATCTGCACAGTTTGAATAAAAAGATCAGAGAGCTTTGTCCAAGAAAAGGAGACAATATTTTGTTTCAAAAAAGGGGGATTTGATTTCTTTGAGCTATCTTCATGGGTGTTAATACTTTGATTTAAAAACAGGGTATGTCTTCATGAATTCATCTAAAACAAAGACTCACAGCCTTGGGAAAGGTTTAAAAACGGTAATAAAAAAACATTCAACCTGCAGTATCCGAGCAGCATGTCTCAGAAGTTTGACAGATGAAAGAAAACATATCTATGAATTTGTAAGGAGCCTTCAAAAACATTTACTCACAATTTTTGTTATTGTTCAGATTATAAGAAGAAAGTAGAGCGAATGGAAATCATTAATTGATTTGAGGGAGCTCAAAACAGAAGGAACAAACATTTTTGTCTTTTAAAGGGGGATTCTGACAGCAAGCCCTCTATCTGCTGTACATTTCCCTTTGCTTTGAGGAGATAAGTAGGGAAGCGTTAGATTGAGGATGAAAATACACTGAAACATTCTTCATCCAGCATGTACCAGCATTTCTTTCACAAAACAATGCCCAGAGGGACAAACAGGTCTCTTTAGTCCTCACAGCTGACAGAATGCTTTTGCATTTTTTGCAGAAAAAACTGGTTGCTATTCTCCCAGTGAAAAGCCTGCCACAGTCTTATCTTGGTGTTATGACCGTAAACAAATTAAACATTTAAGCCATTCTGCACCCAGCAGCCCAATTATAACCTTGAAATTGATTCTGGCCACATTAAGATTATTGATCCTCTAAATGTTTGTCACAGCACTCCTGTGAGAAGTGAGCATCGGCGCTGTGAATATGAGCTTCATGCTGTAAGATGAATCCTTAAACTCTAACTGTTAAGAGTCCATCAAACTTTCAGTCTCACAGCTGACACTTTCTCTATACATTCATTCTCTTCTTCAGCTCTGCCTTTTCCTTCACACAAAAGTGAACAATAAAGAACTGTATGTCACATAGGTTTGAAAGATTTCAAAATGGCCGCTTGACTGTAATCTCGTGAAATTAAGTTATCACTGCTAAACAATGAGTTGTGTCTGCCAGACTGCTGTCACTCCCCATCATGGTTCTGGCAAGATGGGAGGCAGGTGCCAGGGAGGCAAGAACCTCGGCTCAGACAAAAACCAATCCACAAGCGCTCTAAGAGGCTTTTTGAAAGTGCAGCGCAGGTGCCACTCACACCAGCTTTCCTCAAACTTCCCCATATTTGATCATATTGCTCTCAGTTAAGATGGAAACACCACAGGGCTCTAATGCTTCTCGCTAATGTCTCTTACACACCAAAGATGCTGCAGCCACAGAAATAGTCCCAATTCACTGAACATTACAAGTCTGTAAATTTTTGTTTGAAGCTATATTTGCTCATTAGAGTGTGTGTTTTGATGTTTTCACCCAACTCAGTAAGTACAGGGTCAGATTTTCTTCCAGGACTGTTTTATTCTTTCTGTCACCAAGTGTTAAAAATGAAACCCTCTTGGTTTAATTGTATCTGGTCTTTTGGTCAGAAATACCTTCACCTTTCACGAGATCAAAAAGTCTGCATAAAAACCTGAGTCAGGAGGAAGTTACAGGTGTCCACCAAAAACAGTCTGAGTACTTCCTACAGTCTCCTAATATGATACAAATTATGATAAGACACGCATCATCGCCATAAATGATTCAAAACTGTAAAGAGTCCTCCTGCTTAAAACAAGAGCCTTGCTATTAAAGCTTTGTGATAAACGACATTCAGCTGCAAAGATCATTAATGTGAGAAGAATTGCATCATAAATAGACAGCGCAGAAGCCTATATTGATGTTTGTTCCTACACTAACCCTCTCAATGAATAGTTACCAAATATTGTCATGGCGCTGTAAGTGCTCCACTCTTTCTACCAAAGTGATAAGAGTGCGTCTGTGATTGTTTAGAAGTTGAGGTGGTTGTAGACATGGACTTTTTCGTCCTGTGTTTGTTGGGATGGTGTGCTCTGGCTATGTGTAGCAGACCTACCTGTTGTTGCTGGCAGGTGATCAGATTGGTGTTTTGGTCATGTGTAGATGAAAATCTGTCATCTTAAGGCAAAATTTAATCAAAATGCATTTAGACACTTCCAGTTTTGACGGCAGCAGCTCTTTCATTTTTATTTGTTAAGCATGTAGTATGATGTCTTTTGTACGAAAGAGGATTAGGGCCACAAGTAGAGAAAAAAATAATTACAGGAGGAAGATTTTTTTATTTCCAGTTCCAGATTTAAGTCGAAATTTTGACGTTAGCGTTGAAATTTCGAGATAAAAAAAATTGAAATTATGTGAATAAAGTCTAAATTTCGAGATTTAAATAATCGTATAAAGTAATTACTTACGAGAATAAAGCCGTAATAAAATCATTACTTGTAAAAATAAAGTCCTTATATTCTAACCTGTTGTTTAAGATGACAGTTGTTGAAATGAGAGCCATTGAGCATTTTGTGAAAATGTAGTTAAATATAGGTTTCTCAAACAAGAAGTTACTTTATCTTTGCACATCAGCACCACATTATCATAAGTATCATGAGGATTTTATCATGACTTTATTCTCGTTAGTAATGACTTTATTCTCATAAGTTAAAGACTGTAATCTCAAAGTCTTGATTTTTTTCTCTTCTTAATGTGGCCCTAATACTCTGTTGTAGTTTTGGCTCCTGCTCCTGTCAACTGGCTTTATTTTGCACCACACAGTTATTTGGGCCAGACCCATCTTATTACATGTGCACTGGTGCACATATTGGCCAGAGCACATAGCAATTCATATTACCATATCAATTTTTTGAGCACATCCCTGATTCTAACCTCTTCAGTTTTTGCAGAAACCAGATCAAACATCCATTATAAGACCACCAGGTATGCACCTCAAGACAGATGGCGTTCCCTCTACTGACCAGGGCTGCCATTTCCTTTGTCTTTGGGTTAAGCTAGGCTAACTGGTTACTCACTCAAGCTTTATATTTACTCAAACAACACAAGGGTGGGGGGTGATAATTTTCTTTCCTTATGCTCCACAATGAAGCATTAATCAATTCATCAAAACGCTTCCTTTATATAATTGAAACTTGTATCCTGTATCTGTAACATAGGACTGCTTCATTATCAGGCATGCTTCCATGTCTTAAGCTGAGATACACTTGCTGATATTATTTCAGTCAAAATAGTCTTGGCCTTTGCAAGCTGGTGAAACACTCACCGATCCAATACCCCTTTTCTGCAACTGTGCTGCAATCCAGGTATGAAATGGAAATCTGAGCCCACAGTTTTAGAAGTGTTTGTGTTTCTATTATTTCATTATGAAAAAAGCTTTATGAGATGCTGTGAGCAACATCGAGAAACAAAGAAGTTTAACTTTGATGCTCAAAGTACAGCAAATCCCCCAGTGGAAAAGTAACAGTGAAGCCGTATGTCTTTTTAACTACAATTATATGCGTGTGTGAGCTACATTTTATGCTAAATTAGTTTCAAACCACTTGATCCTTGATGCCTGCCAAGGCGGTTAGTTACAAAACTTCAGGCACTGCATTTAGGGATATGTTCACTTCAAAGGTATGAAACTCTTACCTGGAGAATGATTTAACAGTTGGCTTGAAAGCAATGTACCCTTCATTAAAAAGCAGAGCCAAAAGTCCTTTAGACACTGCAGCACTTCAAAACTAAGGGGAGGGCTTTCCATTAACTCAATGGAAAAGAGCTGCAGGACTAAATGGCGGGTGTCTGAGTATGTTTTTTATTCCCTCTATGTCTTTGCAGCAGAAATGGCCCCGTATCCATTAGGCTGATTTGTCACAGCAGGGAACCCCAAAGATCTCTTATCAGCACAACGTACCTCTCGAGTGGCGAGTCTGTCGCTCATCTCCTCCGCCTTTGCTATGTCCCCTTCAGCTATGGCCTTCTCTGTGCTCTTTTCTAGGCCGGACTGCAAAGGAGAGGGAATTTCAGTTTTTTTTTTTTTTTTTTTGGAATATGGGTAGAGAGAAAAAAAAATCAAAGACTAACTTCAAAAGTCCTCAGGGTTTTATTTTTAATATGATTGCCATTACTACAAATATGTAGATTTTTCTTCACAAATGAAAACCTATTTGATTGGATATTAGCGGGGAAATCTTAGAAATGCTACAGGAGATTACCAAACATAAATTTGCCCCTTTAATTACACATTTCCATTACAGGCCTAAGCAGAGGGGGATGCAGTGAAGCCCCCGGTCGCTCATGGCAAGGCAGTTCTGTTGTGATGAGCCTATTTGAGGGGCACCAGATTTCTTCAGCCACTCAATTTTTCATCACAGAAAAAAAATATACATACTGAAAAGATGAGGTAAACATAGATGTTTTCTTCAAGGACCTTGGGTTAACTGCAGCCTGTTTTTATTAGTGTCTTTGTTTTTATTATTTCTTCTCCGGTTATTATTTTACCACAAAACTGGAGATAAAAGTAGCGCAGTCTGGCCTCTGGTATCAATTAATGCTTTCTGCATCTTACAAACAAAAGTGACGGACTGTCATCCTTCAAATCTGCTGTTAGAAAATGAGTTTCATCCTTCTGTGTGCTATGACAGCTCTTCTTCCCAAATAAATGTTTAAGATTTGAAGGAAATACAAAACATGACATATTTATTCAAAGAAACTTCATTTAAAGGGTGAAGAAGCTGCTCATTACATTTACACGATAAGTTCTGTTTCTTTCAACCAGTAAATGCGTTCATAGTTGATCAATTCAAAGTAAAGTGAAAAAACTCAATTTTATGCTAGTCTGGAATAAATGAAGCATAAATAATCATTTAAAGGAATTTTAAATTGAAATGAGAACACTTACAACTCACTGGGTCAGCTATAAAGATCATCAAGCTTGCAAATATTTTGCTTCATTTGCAATTTTCAAGTCTTTGCAGAGAATTCATTCTTCTTTAAATGCAGAATATTATCAGAAGGAGGAAAGTTATAATTTCTTACAAGTAGAGTGCTTTCCAAGTTATTACCCAACAGTTATTTTAATTGTTTTAGCTGCAATAAAAAAGGCTGGATCAGGTAGACAGTAAAAAGGAGTCTCTCACTAGGAAACCTGCATTTGACTTTAATCTTATCACTTTATGAAGCCAAACATAATCCTAATTTTTCATCTAGGTGTCAGCTCCTATTACCTGAAGGATCTTCTAATCCAAATGTCAGATCACATAAAACAATGAAGCACAGAGTGGAAACACAAAGGATAAAAAGGTGTTACTGTGGCAGCTATGACAGGCGAGGTATTAAAGCTCAGCCGATAAGTTGGATGGTGGAAGTCTTTTTACCTTAGGAGGGGGTTTGGAGCATGGGGGTGGATAAAATCGATCATTTACACCAAAATACTGCGTAAGCTCATCCCAGTGCTTCTCCTGCTCTTCCTGAAGCTTTCTGCTGACAGAGAAAATGTGGGTTAATTTTCTCAAGAACTAGATCAGCCCTGCAATAAGGCTTACTAACTTCAATTAAATATCCTTCTTACTTACAATGACATAGTATTTTCTTTAATGCCATTGTATTCAAGCTTGTTCTTTTCTGTCAGCAAGGAATGAGAAATGACTATCAAGTCTATCATTTCTTTACATTACAATGGGCCAATATAATATCTACTTTGGTATAAGTACCAGTTCAATTGCACGTCCCATGTACAGATAATATATTGGGTGCTACAGTCCAGGTTCACTCCAACCTGCAGCCTTTTACCCCTTTCTCTTTCCTGGTCTTCTTCTCTATCCACTATACTATTCTCTTAATGAAGACACCAAACAGAGAAAGATTTCGTTACTACAGGCCTCACTGTCAGTAGCTCACGAGTGCTTTCTAAATCTCTCTTTCTAGTGTGATGTTATGCTTTTGGTACCTTTTCTCAGTGGGTTCTTCTCTTTCTGCTCCTGCTGAACAACAAAAGAGACTCAGTTAGGATATTTTAAATCAAAAAGAAAAAACACCAAAACAAAATACAAGATAACAGGTCTAACAGATAACAAGTAGAGTACTGATAGGGTGGCCAACAGTACCAATATTGCCAAGACTGGTCGGCATGTTAATCAACTAATTAATACTAATAATCAGTAAATGTTAGTGCCTGTGCTCACAGGGTCAGTGTCATGATTGTCTTATCTGATAGCTGGAGAGCAGGTTGGTAGAAGGCCAATATATATTGCAGACATCATGGTTGTTGTTGGGTTTTTTTTTTGTTGTTGTTGTTATTTTTTTTTTATTTCACATGTAACAAAATAACAATATAAATTCACTTGCCAATAATTTAAAACTGCTGAATTTTTATTGAGTATTGATTAAGAGGGGGGAAAAATGGATCCTGAGGACATTTTGAATACTTAACCATCTATTTGAAATGAGTAGGAAACACAAAAAATACAAAACAAATGGGGGTCACAAAAAAGGTACTCTTTATATAAATGTTACCATATAATGTATTAATTAAAGGTTAAAATCTTCCTAATAAAACCCTATAAAATGCCCATAAACGTTAATAATTGCTTCAAAGTGTTTATAAAAGCATGATTAATATATCTATCATTACCTACACAACCCTGTTGGCCTCTTATTAGAAACTTGCTCAATTGAGTGTTTACAAACATTTATCAGACTTAATGAGGGTTTATATTTGGTATATGAACACAAATATCATCAGGCATTTGTTAAGAAGGTTTAAGTTCTGTTTTTTTTTTTTTTGACCTGTGATTTTTTTTTTCTTCCACAAAGAATACCCCAGTGTGATTTCGTGCTAGGTGAAAGGGAGCATTTTTAGTTAACATTATATGTGCTTTATTTATCAATCTTTACAAGGCATAAACCTTCACTTTTCATAATATGATTTATGTTATATAACATCTAATCAAAATTAATAAGTAGCCTTAAATGGTTGAGATTCTCATGAGTGTTTTAAGGGGCACTCTTAAAAAGCAAGAACAAATGTAAGTTATAAAATAAATGCTACTACAAATAAATTAATGTGAATAGAGGTCTTTGTAGATCTTAAAAGATGTCCATATGCTTTGAATTGTAATAAGTTTCCTCAAGTGTGTTACAAACTGATAACAGACATGTTCATTAACCTTGATTAACCCTTGTTCGGTCTGATTTATGATATATCATATATATATATATCCATCCATCTTCATTAATCATCGTTGTCTCACTTATGCGATATGATATCATCTGCTCTCTTATTATTGGCATTGACATCTGCTGCTCCAAAACTGATATTGGTCAACCACTAAACATCACATGGGGGGAAATAAGAGGAAAAACTTTTTCTGATCATTGACACCTTTCTTGGGTCGCCTCCTTTGTCGTCTCCTGGTGAGCTTCATTCTCTTCATTTCTTCATTCTTCTTCTTTAGATCTTGAAATTTCTTGAACACATCAAACAAGTGAATTCAAACATGCAGTACAACACTTGTTTTTAATGTTTTAAATGTTGAAACAGACTTTGTCCCCAGATCTACTGAAACCTCTGAAATCTATGAAATCTTAGATCACGCTACAAGAAGTTAACATACTTGCCACATTTCCTGTGATACTCCAGGCTGGCTGCATGTTTGTGGATCTTTGTCTGTGTCACAGACTGTGTGAGTGGACTGTGTCTCTTTCGTCTTATCCTGCTCCTCCTCTGAACTGAGGTCCTCTTCGGTCAGACCTTTGGGCAGAAGTCCGCTGTACATCTCGATTAACAAGTTAATAGTAACAATTCCTCATTTGTAACCGATTCATCACCTGTAACCGATCAGAAATCAGCTTAAAAAATAGAATACAACCGCTGTTATTCAACTACGCTCTCATTTCCGGGTAAACATGATGACGTTCCTTGTTTTAAATCACCCATTGGCTGATAGCCGCGAACCTCTGAGCCAATCAGAGCCGTACTTCCATGGCCGTCAGCGGTGAAGCAAAAGGACCGACAGTCCACAGGCAATTATTGGTCATTTTGGAAGGTGCAAGGTTCATCTGTCAGACCCCAAAATCTAAAACTGGTCAAATACAAACTGATTTGACACTGTAAACAGTCACTCTCTGGGTCGGAATTAGGAGGGAAATGAAGTCAAGAGCTCGCTGTTGTGAATTTCTAATTGAAGTGAGCCAAGCCACTGACAAGTACTTAAATTACCGGGATTCATTCAAACGTTAACCTATATTTGTGTCATGTTCTGAGCAAGATAAGCTTCTCTCTATGGCCAATGGTTTGCAATTTGCTGAAAATGCTTTGGGCATGTACATTATTATTAGAATGATTAGCATGCAAATCTTGTATAGCCCCTGGCACTGGCACAGGCACATCCACCCTTCAATTGCTCTTTCACACTCATTCATATAAAGCTTTCTTTTGGTTGCATCTTATTGCAAAGCCAATAATCTACATAAGTTATTGCCTTTAATGTGTTTTTTTTTTTCCATTAATGAAGAATAAAGAGTATGACCCATCACACCAATGTATTTCCAAAGGTCAGTGTCCAGGCTTTCGCACTCTTTACACTTAAAGGTGCAGTGAGTAGATTTTAGCAGTATTTACAGAACAGACTTGGCAGAAAGAGAATATTATATTTATAGGTGTGATAAAATTAATGTGTAATCACCTGAGTATAAGAATCATGTTGTTTTCATTAACTGAGAATGAGCCTTTCGTATCCACATAGCAGTGGGTCCCCTTCCACGGAGTATGCACCCTATACTATTAACACATGTTTTTTCTGGAGTGAGTGGCTGCATGAAATGCACTTGTTAGAAGACAAATAACCATACTTTTTTCTGCTTTAAAAGTATTTTGTTATTATAGACAGATTTGATGGTAAAATCTTGACAAATGGGGGATCATACTTATTAGGCATTACAGGAGCTTCTTGTCTTTAAAGGCCACCATCATTCCTAAAATGTGAGGGGTGAGCAAGAAAGCATTTTCACTGAGGACATGTCTGCTTGATATGTTAAATTCCCATTTCTACACACTGTAGCTTTGAAGGGCAGAAAGGTTATTAAAGAAATGTGTTTCATCCATACTAAGAACAGTGATGCGTACTGGAGGGGGAATATGTTAAACTATATAATACAGGTTGGATACCTGATTTCTGTGCCAATGCCAAAACAATACATCAAAAATAACTGTTAATTAATTATGTGTAAAATGCATTTCTCTCCAGTTAAGCAACAAATTACTGTTTTTTAAAGCTAAAAAGAAGAGCTTAGTGACAGTATTTACTCTAGGAAATGGCACAATCTTTAAAACTGTGGCAGTTTAATTCATACAGTATAAACCATACCTTTATTAGACATTATGCTCACCGCTAGCACTTTATAAACATTACTTTAAGCTATTATAAATGCTTATCATCACTTATAATGATGTGGATTTGTGGAATGCATTTTTAAGGCTTTTGTGCTTATGATCCACTGAAAGAGGTGAGTTCATATCAAGTATAACCAAAAACTATTTCTGCTCCAAGTGAACTTTTCACTTTTTTTCTGTGTTTTGAGTAAAGAGAAAAGGTTTCAGAATACTTGTGAATTGCAAACTTATGTCCCTGAACATGTGAAGGGGGATTTTTGTGACTGATCAACAAAAAAACAAACCAAAAAAAAAAAAAAATAATAATAATAATAAAAATAATTAAATAATATTATGCTGCAACTTAAACCAGAACACTGTACGACAAAAGTACAAGAAAACCAAACCTGAAACAGACATCTGATGCAGGCGTTTGTACCGGGACATTTTAGTTGCTATCAGTTTTAACCATAATATTTCATCCTTCCTGTAAACTAATGTAAATTTAAAAAGACCCTCCTCTTTCAAAGACCTTACACTCTCCTTGACCTCCCTGTACCCTATAAGGGAGGCTCGCACAGTTAAGCTTTTGCAAAATGCTGTGCTCATTAAAGGCTGTCGAGGCGTACGCTATATTAAATGTCACCCAAACATGTAAAATCACTATCTTATCCTCTTAAATATGCAACCATTAACTGGTATCACTCACTCAGTCTTAATGTGACTTTAATTACTTGTGTGACAATTTGATGAGCACAGTAGCTCTGAAGGTAAATGAGAGTCACAAAGTCCTGTTAATACTAAACAATTTTGGCATTACAGGTCTGAATCATTCCTTCCTTCAATCCTTATTGATTACCAGACTTAGCGCTCTATTTCACACTCGAATTAGAGTTACTCAGCTTTCCTAGCATCCATCTCTGGCTTTCTCCCCCTCTTCCTGTTTCTCGCTCCCTGGCATGCTCTCCAGTTCATTATTTTCGTCATTTCTTGGTAATTTGCAGTTGGCTGTTTAAAACTTAGAGCCTCTTATTAAGTTTTGGCCATGGTGGATAAGAGGCAGGACTGGAAGAGCACAGAGATAAACTAATCATCTTAAAACCCTAATTATTTGTATCTTACTGTGACAGACTGTTTTTCCGAGCCAGCCAAATTGAGCCTCAAATGAGGAAAGGCATATCTGTGGAAGTGCTAATAATTTTAAGTCATCTCGATCTGGCGTGGTGTGGCAGAATTCATTAGTGCAGATTAGCACTGTGTGTACAAAGTAAATGAGATATCTAATAGCAAACGTGGAGGTCTGGAGACTCTTAATTTTCTCCCCAGTATGAGCGATGATGTTAAGAGGTTATATATATTTTAACATTGTGTCTTTTGCAGTGTGGATTTGCCCGCTCCTTGCCTTGTTTACACTCGACATTGTCACTAAACTGTTGACTTCTAACCTCACTCTGGGCTTTGACTGCCAAAAGGACACCAGAGTGAACCCTAAATCAGATTAGACCGTGTTTCTGTGATGAAGAGGCAAGATGATTTCTTTTTCTACTCGCAAGGATACGAAGCTATAATTATGTGTGTAAGAAGAAGGGAAGACGGTTTGAAAAAATAATAAGATTACAAAGAATAATTTGCTGATATAATTACACCAAAATTGGGTACACACAATTGTAAGATACGTGTATTGCTTGACCTGGGTTAGCCAGTGAAATAAATCCTCCTTCTATAGCCTTTGTTAATTTGTTTTTATCATCTCCAAGTGGTGTTTGTGCAGGCAGTTCAATTTGCATGTGTAATTCCACTGTGCAAATTGACAACAAGTAGATAATTCGAGGAAATAGGCTGGTTGCAGGCCCCTGCTATCTTCCCAAGCCTATTCATTTTGAGGAACCGCTGAGGCATGAAACTCATACATCAACTATTTCCTGACAACGCTTAGGCTTATTGTCCCCTAAAATGTCATTACAGCCATTATTTATGAAGCTAATTCATTTATTAAACCATATTTACTCTGACAGAATTTGTCACATTCTATCCATATCCCAAGCATTAGTTTTGAACATTGTATTTCAATGAGTATGTATGATCACGTACAGCTTCAGAAAGTTTTCATTCAACCCGATTTGTCACTCAAAATAGTCAGAGTATTGCCAAACCACTAGCAGTTCTTTGTTTAATAGACTTTATTAATGGAAACTTTTCATTGCAAAAGTCCAAATCACTTGTCACAGAAGCCTTGGAAGAGAAAAAATCTCCTTCCTCTTCCACAGAAGCAAACATTTGTGACTTTTTTACATTTTGCAGTCAGACATCTGAAGCAGCCAGAGTTCTTGCATTGAGCCTCCTGGCCTGATGCTGCTGACATATGGATCTGTCAGTTTAATGCTGCTTTAACACTTCATGACAGTGTGGATAATTTGCAGTTGTGGCTGATGAAGTAACACACATTGGGATCATAAATTTTCATGTTACATGTACTCTTTGGATCATTCCATCATACAATTCTTCTGCATCGCTTTCTTAGGACCTACTTGTCACCCAAAAGCACTTATCACGGCAGAGGTTGTGAGCTGTGTTTGAACTGTTTTACTCTATTGATTTGGAGGCATGACATTTTAATTAATACTGGGTGTTAACTGTCATATAGGCAGTCAGCCTAATTGGCAAGAATATGAATATATGAGACAGGCAAGGTAGAGGCAGTGGAGATAAGACTAAAGCACTTACTGTGAAAAAGCTGTAAAATGGGATCAATGCAGGGAGAGAGAGACAGTCATGGGCAGAATTTCAGGTGGGAAAAAAAGAGTAATATCTGTGCTCACTGTTTTTCTGTCAAGGTTTATTCTCTGTCCCGTAACACAAATCACCAAGACACAGCATGCCTGCTGCTTTCCACAGGTTGCGGGGAACATCTCATCATTGGGAGTCTGTATAGCCAGCACACTGAGAAATACCACCAGAGGGGAAATTAGGTAACTTTGCAGCACTCCATTGAACAGCAAAAAGCTTTAAGGGCTTAGTGGTTATAAACACATTAAACTGATGAGATTCATCAGCACTCTTGTGTCAAATCTGTTGTGCCCACAGGCAAAGCTCAGCTGCAGCAGCAAAGTGCAAAACAAAGTGGCATTAACAAACAGGTGCAGTGTCCTCTGGATGTTTCCAGATTTATTTGGAGTAGTTTTACTCCCTTTCTTTTTTTTTTTTTTTTTACAACTAAACCTCTCTGAACAGCCAAACCTACCAGGGGCTCACAGGGCACTTGCTGTAACTTCTCTGGATTTGATTTTTAATTGAAATAATCTTAGACAAAAAGACAATGCTAGATGACTTTAAAGTTTTCTTTTTTAAATTTTTTAGGAGAAAGAGCCCCTTCACTTTATTTCAGTATTTGTTTCTTTCAGTTTCATGTCTTTCTTTCCCATTTTCTCTTACACCTCTCGCCTACTAGGTAAATTCCCAATACAATACCCGATCAACATGAAATGAGTTCAGTTTGGATCCATCTGGAGTCCAGCCAGATGAGCTAAGATAATCTCAGACTTCATTCATA